TATATATATATATATATATATATATATATATAATAGATATGCTACAGAAAAACCAGACAAATACACAGATATGACGATAATAGAAGGAAGTCTTGTTAGAAAAACTCTTGTGAGATTGACCTCTGTACACCCTTCTTCAAGGGGTTTGTGGACTTTTTCAACACTCCAACAGAATACTTTCAAGATAGCAACTTTTAAAAACACTGAATATTTTTTACATATTTCCAATATTTTGGAAATCAGCCTAAGGGTAAGGATCATATTTAAGCATCAGGACTGCTTCCTCTTAGTTCTGTGCTTTCCCCTCTCTCCCTACCTATTGAATTTTGGTGGAATAAGAGATTTTATCAATATTTAACAATAAATGGCAATTGGGCAAGATCTTCAGAAGAATATAAAAAAAATCTAAAAGACTAGAATAAGCCATTTTTATTTAAACTATTTTATTGTATATAATGCCAGTCCTATTTTTGCAACGTATTGATTGTATTTATACAACTTTGCCAGCCCTTGGGGTAACCAGATGTTACTTAAACTTCCATCATTTTGCACAAGAAATCTACTTAATTATGCCTTGAAGATGCTCAACAAAAACTACTGTATTAGAACACTGCATTTCATTTAATGTGTTGCTCTATCAACTGTTTGAATTCCAACTTTATACCAAATATTTAAAAAATGCACCCTATTAAATCCACAGTTGTATTACAGTATGTTAATAACTGAAAAATCAAAGAATGATTTCTTTGAAAGAATTTGCAGTTAGTAGCCATTGTCCTTTTTTCCAGAATTTCATCTCAGGGTATGGGGTTTTCATTCTTCAAATGCCATCATTATTAAAGAAATACATTAATTTCCAAACCAGCAAATATGATGAATATCAAAGGCGAATACCTGTTCTAAATTGACTAGTTTTCCAAAAATGTAGCTCTATAAATTGTACACTTACATTTGAGTAATTGTGCTTAAAACCAGCCAACCACCTTCTGGTTTACAATGCATAAAATGTTACTGAAATTTTGGAAACAGAAAAATCAAATTTAGCATTATTTTGTTATTATAATTCAGATGTATGTGTGTGCAAGACACACCAATAGGTGCATTTACACATAATAAACCTAACAATTTAAAGCCTGGCAGACTGCCAGAATGACTTAGTGAATGCTAAATTTTCCATAGGACAGTTTCTGTGTATTTCAATGCACTCTACAGTATTTGAGGATCTGCCAATCCATCTGAATTTATCTTGAATGGCAGCACATCTGCCAAATGTCCTAGTTGATTTACTCTGTGGACAGCTTTTAATTAGCATTCAGTACATGCATCTGCAGACTAGATTAACTGACAGTGTCCATTGGGTACAAAAGTATTCTTGGCTTTAAATCTGCAATGATAATACAATTAATTCATGTTATTGGACACATGTGTGCTAATAATGTTAATGTGCACACAACAGAACTATTGTTCCCTATTAAAAATTCATTACTAATTGCTTGGTGTTAAATTGGTGTTAAATTGAGAAATAATATCAGAGACTATTTTTTTTCCTAGCATGCATATAAAACACAACGAACATTCAATTTAATTAACCATTTGGAGGAGGGTATGCCCATTACTATGTGTATTACATTAAGTACATTCTTTGCATCAACTACATAATTTGCATCATGATGTATTCACACAATTAACATTATGCAAATGATGCAAACTGGGGGAAATAATGCAAATTCCTTAATTATGGATGATATCTGAGTAGAAAATTGTCAACTTGGAGAATCTTCTAAATTGATTTCTGGTAAAGAAATAGCAGTGGAGCAACTAAAAGATTAGATATACCAGTAGGTATTGAAAAAACATTAGGGGTGCTACCAGATAATCTGGAAGATTGGGAAGCATTTTTTATTTCTGCTTGTTTTTTAGATAGCAAAGATATCATAACGAGATATGAATACACACATAGATACTAATATCTAAAGAATATCCTCTTCCAACCTAAAAAAAGATTAGTAAAATCTAGGATAATACAATAATTATGTCCAGTAACAAAATTAGCTGTGAATTTCACCAACTAGTGCCTTTTTAGTTCATTTGCTTAAATGTTAGGATTTATTTAAAAACAGTTAATTAGAAAAGTAAATTAAATTAAAAAAAATAGAAGAAAATGGAACAATATAAATTTTAAATGAGGATCCAGACTGTGGGGGCGATATGCTGACTCTGTAAACCGCTTAGAGAGGGCTGAAAGCCCTATGAAGCGGTATATAAGTCTAACTGCTATTGCTATTGCTATTAAATTTATTTTATTGAAAGTTGGGCTGTGAAAGTATATTTATTTAAAAGCAAATACTGGTAAATTAATTATCTTGGTTGAACTGACATTTCAAACTGAGTCAAGAAAATTTGAACCAGATACCACCAAATGAACTTGGATGATATAAAGATTTCTATGGGTGTGCAGAAATATTTTTGCCCCTAAAGGGATATGGAAATCCATATTCAATTAACCCTATTATTCAATTTGAACATCCACAGGTATATATTTCCAAATAGGATTATTAATAATGTGCTGCTAGATGAATTCCTATTTGTCAACTTATGTTCTTGGTTACAATCTAATTTATAAAACATTACTAGTGTCATAAACACCTGATTTTGAGAGCATCAATACTGAAAATATTTGATAACGTAAGTTTGGTTAATGTGAAAATGTGAGTTATGCCATAAGAATAGCAGAGAAAATGAACATCAGAAATTTTTATCCATAAAGACATAAAACTGTTCTCAACAATTCAATCATGGGCATACAAAATTGGAAAGAAAACCTGTCAAGTTATTCCTAGCTATCAGAAAGCATTTTATCATGTCTTGCCTGAAAAACATTACAAAACTGGGCTATAGTTAAAATGTCTTAATGTTTATTTGTCAATAATCCATAATGTAAAGCTTTGGTTTAGTAATAGTTGTATGAGATGGTATTTAGGATGAGAAACTTGGTGATGGATGGAATTTATGGCTATGGAATAATTCCTATTCAAGAATGCTGCTTTCTCAATCTTACAACACCCACCCACAAGTAAGTAGATGCAACATTTCAAATCAAGGCAGGACTAATGATTATTTCCTTCTGCAGGTACAGAAAGAAACATCTGCTGTCAGCAAAAGAGTTGCCATTTCTCAGAGTAGGTGAAGGCAATATGTTGTGAGGAGAAATTCACTTCTCGGCTATAAACAAGATTTATTCCAAATTGTTTTCTCACAGAAACCTATTCTTACTTCCAATTTGTAATGCTGATAGTTTCTGAAAATGTCTGCTACAATATCTCTATTAGAAATGTTGTTTGAAAATGATAGCCTTGATTCCAGTGTGGAGATATTCATTTTCTGGTAGTTCCAGAATTCAGAGAATAACTCCTGCCATTTTTCAAACTAAATATTGAACACACTGCACCAAAGCATTGCTTTAATCTAATGGTGCATTGGATGTAACATCTAATTGTGGCAGATTGCCCTGAAAAATTCAGTTTAGTGAATAGATTACACCAAACCAACCATATTGTCAGACATGCTAATCAACTTGAATATGAAAATGTAGTTATTTTACATTCATTGTTCCTAAGTATATTAATATTCTTTCATGCACTTATTAGGAAGGAACAATTTACCTCAAAGAGGAATAAAGCACCGTATTGGTATTTGTGAATAAATGCCACTGCTTCCTTCTATTTCTGCACTTTGAGGGAATACTGTGACTTTATTACTATATATCAAAAGAAAGCATGAAGCATAATGTATAGTAATGTTTATTACTTATAAAAGTGAAAATTATATATTTACTTATTCTTACAATTTATCATTGTACATAAGAAACCTGTTTCTTCCAAAAGTTTAAGATGGCCTTCTTATCTGATATTTGTCCTCTTTATTTTTGCATATTCACAATAGCATATAGAAACATTGAAAGAAATAGCTCAGCCAAGGTATTTTATAAAAATTTGAACCTGGGACTTTCTGGTTTTAGCAGATCATATTAATCATATTAACTCCTACTTGACTCTTTCTTATATAGGCAGTTCCTTGACTTACGACCATTGGATTAACAATCATTTGAAGTTATAACACTCCTGAAAAAAGTACCATATTGTTTGCTCCATAAGATGCACTGGATCATAAGATGCACCTAGATTTCAAGTTGGAAACAAAGAAAAAATATATGAATATGGAGCGCCGTCTCACTGTGAATATGGAGCACCGAATATGGAGCAGCAGTGTAGTGAGGGCAGGAGGCGGAGCCTGAGAGGACCACAGATAGGTGTCCTCTCATGTGCCAGCTCTGACTATTGACTCCTGTATTCTGGTGGGGTTCAGCGCTGTAAAAGGACCCTGCTACCGCAGCCCAGCCAGATATTCGCTCCATAAGATGCACAAACATTTGTATCCACTTTTTTGGGGGAAAAGTATGTCCTATGGAATGAAAAACGTGGTAATTTACAACTGGTCCTTTGCACTAAAAGCAAACATTGCAGCATCCCCTGGTTATGTGATCAAAATCTGTATTGGCATGTATTTGCGATGGTTTCAGCATCCTGAGGTCACCATTTCCAATCCTCCCAGGGCGCTTACAACAAGCAAAGTAAATGGGAAAAACCTGGGTTCCCTTAATGACTATGTACTGTATTTTTTGGAGTATAAGACGCACAGGAGCATAAGACGCACCAAGGTTTTGAACAAGCAAATTAAAAAAAAGTTTTTACACTCTGCAAACCTCCCCAAAACAGCCCATTTTTTCGCGAAAACAGGCCTGTTTTTTTTTTCCAGAAAAGGGCATAAATACCCTTTAGGAGGCTTGTAGAGTGCTCCTGGGGGCTGGGGGGGAGTAAAATTGAGCAAAATTGGGCCATTTTTTGCTCATTTCTGCCCTTTCCAGCCCCCAGGAGCCTCTAGCTTCCTAAAGGCTATGCACAGCCATTTTGGTGAAGGAGGTGGGGTTTCAGGAGGCAAAAAATGCTGTATTCAATGTATAAGATGCACCCAGATTTTCAGCCTCTTTTCTGAAGGAAAAAGGTGCGTCTTATACTCCGAAAAATATAGTAATTTATTCAATGACTGTGACAAAAAGATTGTAAAATCAAGCACAACTCATAATGCTTCTATTGCTTTGTGACAAAAGTTGTGGTTCCAATTATGATTCTATATTGAGGACCAACTAACTGCCTGTCTGTCCCAGATTAAAAGTCCTGTGTTTCTATTAAAATACAATAAATAATTTATATTAAGATACAAAAGATTTTAAGCTATCTGGTATATTTAGAAAAGAATATTTTTTATGATTTTTTTTCACAAGCTTAACTTATCCTGTTCTTTTTTTAATTTTTCCTAGATGTACATCCAGACAACAACTCTTACAGTGTCCTTAAGTTTAAGTGCTTCTGTCTCTTTGGGCATGCTCTACATTCCCAAGGTTTATATTATCATTTTTCATCCAGAACAAAATGTGCAAAAAAGGAAGAGGAGTTTCAAGGCTGTTGTCACTGCAGCCACAATGCAAAGCAAGCTGATCCAAAAGGGAAACGACAGGCCAAATGGCGAGGTCAAAACGGAACTTTGTGAAAGTCTTGAAACCAACAGTAAGTCATCAGTAGACTTAACCATGGTCAAGAGTGGCAGCACTTCCTAATAGATGTACGTTCACAGGAATGTTTCATAAATTAATATTTTTCTATCTTGGCTTGCCATGCATGAACCAGACATGTGTCAAAATTCATGTGGCCATTTTGTTTAAGAAGGTTTGAACAAAACAAATGTGTCTATGAGCTGATCTATTTAATAAGTGCACATTATTTCTTACATAATTTAGCTTTGAGTAGTGGGGTAGGCTTAAGATTTCAGTATTGCATTAATTAATTAAATAAGTAGTCCCTGTTTAGCAACCACTTCATTTAGCAACCAATACAATGAACTGGTGACTCAGTGGCTAAGATGCTGAGCTTGTTGATAAGAAAGGTCGGCAGTTCAGTGGTTCAAATCCCTAGCATCGTGTAATGGAGTGAGCTCCCATTACTTGTCCCAGCTTCTGCCAACCTACCAGTTCGAAAGCATGTAAAAATGCAAGTAGAAAAATAGGAACCACCTTTGGTGGGAAGGTAACAGCATTCCATGTGCCTTCAGTGTTTAGTCATGCCAGCCACATGACCATGGAGACAGCGCTGGCTCTTCAGCTTTGAAACAGAGATGAGCCCTGCCCCCTAGAATTGGGAAAAACTAGGACATATGTGCAAGGGAAACCTTTATCTTTACAATGAACAGTAAAAACAACCTCATATGTAAGACCTTTGCAGGCCTGTAAAGCAAAGGAAAGCTGAAGTAAGATCATTACTACAGTTATGGTTTCACTTAGCAACCACTTTGTTTAGTGAATGAATTGCCTGTTGCTAAATGAGAACTCTATGTACTATCCATATGACTAACTATAGCACCTATATAAATATATTGCCATATTGTTAAAGGTTATATTATTAATATATCTAATAATGGAAATTTGAAATTAATACTATATCCAGATAAGTATCCATTCACTTTTTAAAGTTTCTGATAACCTTCAGTCTATTATCTTCCAAATAGTTCTTCTTCTATCTTATCAGATTTAAGGGATGCCATGGATAAAACTAGGTGTAGAGAGAGATTTCACGTTGGTTTGATTTTCCTAGTGACAAAGAGAAGCCTTTATAAAGTAAAAGGGTTTATCAATTGGGTAAAGGCAATTCTACTTATAATATATCACCATAGTGTGCATAGAATCATTTGATATGCAAATCAAAAGCCTTGTATACAATTTACATGGGAATGATAACATTCAATTTACAAATCAGAAGATTTTTGTACTGATAACTGACTAGAAATTGGATATAGGAAATCCAGTTTGATAGCTTTAAAAGAATAACTTGTTTATATTATCCATCTTCATCTACATATTTATTACACCAGCAAACATGCAAATACAAAAAAGGAATATAGGGCGTTGCCTTCAAATTTTGACACATCTCTAAATAATGTTTTCCTGTAGTCTAATAATTGCATCAAATGGCAGCATGTTGTCATGGCATGTTATACTAAATTTATGCTCCTGTTATTTGTTTATGTATTCCTATATAATTAAAAGGGAAATAGATTTTAGCAAAGTTGACAAACCTAAGCAAAACTGAATTTCCTTATTAATACAGAAATCTCAATTTCGTGTTTTCCTTTGCATATACTAGAAGTTTTTGCAACATGTTTATTGAAACCATTCCAGGATGTAGAGACAATTTTCATTTAGTCTGTTAAAAGATTTTGAAGTCTTTTCTTGAATCAGAAATTATAGATTACCGTATTTTTAGAGTATAAAACACACCTCCCCCCCCCTAAAAGAAGGCGAAATTTTGGGTGCTTCTTATACACCAAATGTAGCCCCGCCCACCCACTGCCCCCCACCCTTTGCTCTTCCTCCCAGCAATCTACCTCCTTACAGCAAACAGACAAAATGGGGCTTGTGGAGGTGGCAATAGGCTATGGCAATCCCTACAGACTGAAACAGCTGATCATCTGGAGGCTCGTCCTTAAACTGAAATTGAAAGTGAAACTTGCTGTTTGCTGCAAGGAGGCAAATTGCTGGGAAGCAGAGGCAGATTTTTTTTTTCTAATCAGGTTAAACTGAAACAGACCGTTTGCTGTTTGCTGCAAGGAGGTAAGTCAATAACTATAAATGCCTATAGAATGTTCAAATGATTAGACTTATTTTTTAAAGACTGCTTTATTATAGTTCTAAACAATTTAACAAAATGAAGAAGCTTTTTAAAATAAATGCTTGCTCTAAAGATGCTCGATACTATTGTATCTTTTTTAAAATAGCATATAATAATGTATACTTCCAGAAAGCCACATCAATTTTAACATCATCTGTACAAGTATAGTCTGAAATGTAACGCCACAAACAGTGTATATCTTCTGTACTGTTTGCTGTTTGCTGCAAGGAGAAAAACTGCTGGGAGGCAGACGCAGATTTTTTTTCTCCTTATTTTCCTCCCCATAGGAGTATCTTATACTTTGGAGCATCTTATATCCAAAAAATACGTTATGTGAATATTTGCTCCATTTCTTGGACTTTGTGTCAAGTCTGAGTTCTTATAACTTGTCTTAATTTCCCGAAAAGGATAAAGCATACATTTTTTTTTAAATTCTCTTCAACATACTTCCTCCAGGTTATTGAGCTGTCTCCATCAAATGGTGGCACTCAGAATTTTCACCACATTTTCAAAAGATAGCCTTCTTCCCCCCCCCCCCAAATAGTTTGTGGAAACTTTTTAGACATATAGTTACCATGGAATGTCTTCGAAATCATTTTAAAAACTATCTATAATAGTACCTAGATTACTTTAAAGAAAATATTCCTTCTTGCTAACAGTTAGTGACCCTTAGCTCTCAAATTACTTTCCCAGTGACAGTTATGACACATTAATTTTAGTACAAGGACATCACTTCAGAATATGTCTCTGTTGCAGAGAAAAGAAGCAAGGCCTGATCCTGAAGCATACTATTTCACTGAGACTTCACTTACAAGTATGTAGCTTGTAATTTACTTGAACCAATAACAACAATAACAATCACAACATATATTTCCTCAATAGAGTATGCTTTGAAATTAATTTTAAAACTCTTATCTTTCTTCCACAAAATAATTATTCAGGATTAAGGATTAAATTGTCTCTAGTCTTCTTTCCTATTACTTTATACATCTATAATTATTATATTATATAACTATAGTTATTGTCATTTTTCAGGGTGCTGTCCTAGAATATCAACCAGCTATGATCACATATAACATACAACTGTGAGGCATGACTATATCAATTAGATGTGCTGACATGAGCCAATTCAGGGGTGGGCTTCAAAAATTTAAGCAACGGGTTCTCTCTCTGGTTGCTGGGTGAATGTGGCCATGGTAGACGTGGTCTAGTCGGCCTCCTGCACCAAGGCGGGCCCCCCATTTTAACCTTCCCTAGGCTCCAAAGGCTTTCCTAGAGCCTCTGGGAAGCAAAAACTGGCTCCCTTGGACTTGGGAGGTCCTCTGGAGGCTGAAAACAGGCCTGTTTCCAGTCTTCCAGAACTTCCAGGAGGCCCATTTCCCCCCTCCTCGAGCCTCCGCACAAGCCCTGCACTTACCTCACATCCAAAATGGACCACGTGGAGACTCCTGGGAGGGGTGGGGAGGGACAAGGTGGAAGGGGCGAGCCGGGATCGAATTTGGAGGTTCTCTGAACTGGCCATAATGTTAGTTACAGGTTCTCCCAAACCCAGGTGAACCTGTAGCAGCTCACCCATGAGCCAATTATGTCAGATCTTTCTGTATGGACATATTTTTGAAGAGTCTGTGGGCTAGAAATTTATGCTTGATGCCATTCTTCTTAGTATTAAGCCTACCATGATTCCATGCATGGTATTAGCAAAATAAGAAGATATTTCTTTTAATGCATGCCACTTATTGGAATCTTCATTGTAAATGCTTGAAAGAAATACAGAAAAAGCAACTATTTAAGGAGGCAAAATCTAAAAAACTGGTCTTTAAAAATATGTTCCTTGGGTTTGTTATGCCAAATTTACAATACTCTCTGAAGATCTATGCTTTCAGTGTGTATTTCATATTGCAACTCACAGGGCTTGAAACTGAAATAATACCAAGTTTTACAACTTGGGATTGTAAAATCCCAAAATTAGGAAGTTAATTATAGTAAATCATGGATGATACCTAAGAGAATATTAATGGAATCAAGACATAAGTGGAAATCTGAGAATACTGGTTATTTTGTTATTTTATTTTTAAATCCTAAAATACGGTTCACAAGAATATAGATAAATTTTCTATGTAAATTCCACTGTTAAAGTAGGCTTCTTATTCAGCTAAGGAGGCTGTTATAAGCATTTTTAACACCATGATATAGTTATGCTCCTGGTTGCCAAAAGTCATAAAATGTGTGTTCCATAAATTGGAGGTTGTGGTATGCCATGGCCAAAAGTATAAATTCTAGGATTAAAATAGGATTTTAATGTCCCCTTTGGGGGAGGGATGCCAAGGTCTATTCTAGAGAAGACCTTGTTTTGTAGAATTTAAATGAAGTTCTCTTACAGAATGTATAAAAACAGGAGCTTTTTAGAAAATACTAATTCAGCCTAGACATTATGGAGAAAGTTAGAATGTAACTCTTCTTTTTAACATATCATTAGGCATGTATGTACGTATATAGGTATGTATGTATGTATGTAAATACAAAGGAAATTTAGTCCAAATATATTTCTACTTATAAACACATTCTACTTATAAAATGCATATATTCTTAAGAAAACTATGTTGGATAAATGTCAGCTTTTTATGAAATCATACTAATAAGAATGTTTCTTATTGTATGTTTATAACTAACCTAAAACTCATTTTCATTGGTGGTATTATTGTACCTTGCCTTCTTAGAGAAATAGAAGCAGGAGTGGGCTTCAAAAATTTCAGCAAAGGGTTCTCTGCCCAGTTGCTGGATGGGCATTGCTATTGTGGGTTGTGCCTAGTCATCTCCTGCACCATGGCTGGGTGTGTGTGTAATTTTTGCCTTCCCCAAGATCCAGAGGCTCCTTGAGCTTCTAGAAGGGCAAAAATTGCT